GATTGTTTCTTAAGGTATACATTGAATTTAAACAAAAAATTGAGCTATAAGAAAAAGCTAAAATGTTGTTGAAGATTAATGAGATTTCTAATGCGGTGATATGAATTTTGTAATATTTTTGCAGGTAGTTACAACACAATAAAAAGTCCAATATCTCTTTTCACTATATCTTGAAGGAACGAAGATAAGTGGAGGCAAATGAACCCAGTTTTCTCAATCTCTCTCAAAGTTTTTCTAAATTCCTAATTATAGTTTTTTTTTGGTTATTATTGCAAAGACAAACTTTAGCGAGTTGGTTCTGAAAGAGTAATAAATTATGAGTCTTTATGTGAGGATGAATCTTCAGTGAGAGGATTTCGTTTCGTTATTCTGGATTTGTAACATATGTTCACAAGCTTAGAGAAATGGCTTGTGTTTTTGTTGGATGATTAAAAGGATTTAAACACATTGGATATGGTCTTTGATGTGAAAGCATTTCCATTTTTATGTTCATGTTGTAGCAGAGATGCGTTTTTATGTGGTACATTTCGTGGTAGATGAAGTCATTGATACGTACTGAGAAACCGAAATGTGGCTGGTGGTTTCTTGTAGGAGAATAGCCTTCTTTTGTTAAACTTAATTTCTGGCCTTGGCTTAGTTGTTGCGCACTAGGTCATCATCTGGGGTGTATAAGATTCAGTTGCTGTTAGTCAGCAAAAGAGAACCTACGGTGATGCTGAATGTTTGGGCCAACAGGTGGGTTGGGGATGGATGATATAAATAGTTTTCAGAAACCACATTCAAATAACGCCTTTCCATTATAATTTATTTCAGTTATGTCAATATCATGGAGCAGCTTCTAGAACCTGAACGTATGATAGTTTTCCGAGTTCCATGGATAGATGACCGTGGTGAAACACATGTAAACCGCGGCTTTAGAGTTCAGTTCAATCAGGCACTGGGTCCATGTAGGGGAGGTATTCGATTTCATCCATCCATGAACTTAAGCATTGCCAAATTTCTTGGCTTTCAGCAGGTACTATGGTTCCCATCAGTTATATTTTATTATCTTTTCCTCTGAATTCTTTTTTTTTCCTGGTGGCCACCTTAACTTAAGATTTGGGACTGTAATTTGTTTGTAATCCTTCGCAGACGTTGAAAAATGCTCTGTCACCATATAAACTGGGAGGGGCTTCAGGTGGAAGCGATTTTGATCCTAAAGAAACAAGTGACAATGAGGTGACATCTTGGCCCCTTGCATTTTTGACCCGCAAGTGATCTTCTACTGATATTCTGATATGTTGTTTTGCACTCTGGTCACAAACATAATGACCACAGTCAACATATTGTTCTCATTTAATGAAAGATAAAACTATCTAACATAAAAGTGTGTGAATTAATTGAGTTATTAACTTTGTTTTTGTTTTAAAAGTTTTTAATTTCGTTTTCGATAATGTAAACACAATTAGATGGAAAAAGAACTTCCTTATTATATAATCTCTCCCTTCCATAAAAATAATTTTTAGAGGTTTCACAAATGTAAAGAAAAACAATTAATCTTTTATAATAAATGTATTAACGTTTACAATAAACAATTAAAAAAATAATAACCCAATAGTGTTTCAATAAAGTTTTTGAACTTTACGGTCTATTAACATTAAACTATTAAAATGCATTGAATACACTAAAATATCTATCTTTATGAAACTGTAAAAAAATTATCTTTATTAAACGGAGGGAGTATATAATTAGATTTTCCTACTTATATTATTCACTTCTCTCTTTTAATTGTGTTGTGGTTAAATATTTGTCTTGAATATGAGATTCTGTCATGAACAGAGTTTGAAAAAAGACCTAAAAATACTGAAGAAGATTTAATTCAACTTTCTCAATTTCTACTTTTATCAATTCGCTTGTTCAAAATGTTTTATTCTTTCTTCAAGAGTTGCCAAAATGTTTCTAGGAATTGTTAGTCACTGAGACTCAATAATAATCAGAGAGAGAGAGCAAGAAAAAGAAGTCTTCTTCTTCTTTGACAAGAACTTGAGAGTACAAAACATACAATTTTGTAGGAGTCTACATGAAACAAGCAAATTCTCTCTAAGCAGCAAATCTCATCTCAACCACTAACTAATGCTTTATGTACATTTGCTCACATTTCCAACTTCTCTATTCTCTCATTCTACCCACCTTTTGCCTTTCTCTCTGCATATGACTAAAAAGTCTCAATCTTTGTACCCAAAACAGCAAAACCCATCAGTGTTGGCTTCTCCCAAAACAGAGCCTATTTTCCATCTCAGTTAATGCTTCAAAAACCGGGTATAGATCGATGAATGGGAAGTTAAAAATAACGTTAAGCAAAGCTGAAAGCCTCTCTATTCGCCATCATGCTTTGGCTGGAGATGGCAATGCTCGGTGTTGCGTTTGTCTTGCTGAGCCTTTTAACACTTGGTTTATCCTACTGAAGACTACTTTCAATGGTATACAAGCTACAACCGTTTCCTTCACCTTTTCTGTTGTTATCTGCTTCTTGCCTCTTTCCGTATGCTTCTGGCTCGTTAAAGAAGAGAGCCGCCTTGTCTTTACGGATAAGGAAGACGATTTCTTCTTCTTTGACTTCCATAAAGCACCATGTGATTTCCTCTTCTTTCCTTTCTTTTTGGACAATGACTTCGCCTTCACAACAGCTTGAGGCATAACCATACCGTTGCAATAGCCTTCTTCCAAGGATTCAACAGTTAAAGGATGCCCAACAATAGCTTTACCATTCAATTCACTCATACGAGAAACCAGCGGAACATTACGGGGTTTGTTATAGTTTGCTTTTACCTCAATCTTCACCTCGTAGAGCACAGGAGGCAGAGAATTGTTGTTGTTAGTAGCTTCTTCCCCGTACACATTTCTATTCGCTTCTTGTTTCTTACTCATCTGCCTTGAGTTCCTCTTTCCTTTTAGCTGCCACTTAGAAGTGCTCTTCTCAACCCCGTTCAAATTACAATTGACAAGTTGTGTAGCTGGTGGATTTGTACATGCAAATACGTTACTTCCCTCTGTCTTAACAAACACATCTTGACTACTCTGACCACGCCTCCTTGTCAGATCAGAAACAAGAACTGCCCTTGATGACGAAATTCCACAAGCTGTCGAAAAACCTAAAACAACAATGGATGTTTTTAAACCTTTGAATCCTAACGAGGTGGAAAAAACACAATAATAGCAGATAATGAATGCAAAAGCAATTTAGTCATAAAACAAGTCAAGACCAAAAATACACAGAAAGCAATTTAGCTATAAAACAAGACGAGCATTAGGAAACACCGAAGATTAGAAAAACACCAAAGCTATTTAGTTTTGGCCAGGCGATTTCTCGGAATAATGGTCATATAACCTCTTTAATCAACTTGATGGCAATAGCGAGCATTTTGTTTATTTACTTCCTAGAAGAGAAGTGATGCAGATTCTTGCAACTAGAGCAACCAAAACATGTACAAACATAAACAGAAGTTTTAACCACTTATACCTGCAGAGTGTTTTTCATCTCCAGTTAGTGGAACATCATATAATTGGTCAGATGAATCATCCTCCGCCGAAACTGATATGCTGGAAATCTCACTGTCTTTTGCCTTGTTGTTATGGAAAGCTCCGACAACATTTTCAGACGCATTCTCACATGTAATCCCAGTGCTGTCTGAGATATTGTTGATTACAACAGATACACTTTTCATGGATTCAACAGACTCCATTCCCAATACTTTGCCTTCATAAATCCCTTGACAATCGGAAGTAACAGGGACAGAGACCATAGCTGTACTCTCTAACACCTTTGTCAATGTTCGGCGTCGGTTTTTCCTTCTAGAGCATTCATTCACAATCGTACCTTGTGACCTTTTTCTTTTTAGTGACGACGGGGAGCATACTTTGTTCCCGTTGACGAGATTATTTCCATTCGACATTAAATCATTGTTGTTTACATGATAGATCAGACCCACTTCTTGCTTATGCTCAAGAACAGCACCCACATGTTCTTTCCCAATATCCTCAAGCCCTCTCATTCGCTTGATTCCTTCAGTCCCATCATCTTCCGAGTCATTTGGAGTTCGTCTTCTCTTCGGCTGCACTTTCAAAGCTCCACCGTTATTCAGTTCTTGTGAAGACATACTGGATTGCAATTGCTCTGGCGCTAAATCCAATTCAACTTCAGCCTCTCCTGAATCAGCCAACCCCGAATCCTCATCGTCTTCGCCAGAAACACACCTTTTAGAATCCTCCTCACCAGATGAGCTACACAAATTATCGTCTGCACGAACTTCTTTCGCAAGATGTGCATTCTCAATCTCAAGAGCATCGTTAATGGCAACTTCTCGACGAGTACACTTGAGAGACTTCTTATTACTAGAGCTTGCTGCAACAGCAGCAGCCTTTGCTTTCTCAATGCAATCATCGTACTCTCCACAACGAAACGCCTTCACCGTCTTAGACTTTTCAAGAGTATACCAATCCCTGAAATCATAATAGAACAACAACTTTCAACAAGAATTCCCACAAGTCCAAGAAACCGAAAAAGAGACTGAGATTGTGGAGTACTCACACATTAACATCATCACGACCTAGAAGCTTTATAGGAGTGCCGATTTTCGGAGAAACTAAAGAGTTCTCAGGAACCTCATCATGAACCAGAGTCTGACCAGGCCACCAAGAACCGTTACGGCGACGAACCCAAACCAATCTACCTACTGACGCATTAATCGCCTTGAAGTTTTGGTCATCATTACTCTCCATTACAACAAAACACTCTCTCAAGCCCCTCTAAAGAACACAACCAGGAAAA